TTGCAAATCACAAATGAAGCTCACAGCTTTATGATATAATAACGTAACAGGCTTTTTGTGTATTATTTAGAGGAAATTTGAAGTTAAAGGAAGAAAGAGCAAATAAGAAAAGAAAAATTCAAAAGTAGAAAAAAATAATTAGTTTTATATACAGGAAAAAATAACTATTGAGCATCATTAAATATGTTGATTAAAAATAAGAGAAATAAGTAAGAAAAAAATAACTATTAGAGATTATTAAATACATATGACCGTTAGTTAATTGAAAATAAAAAAATATAGTTAAGAATTAATAGTATTCTAAAAATTAAGAAGCGATAAAAACTTGAGATTTATTAAGTACATAATTAAGAAAGTGCAAAAATAAGTAATTTTATTAATTATTTTTAATTTTTATATATTTTAATACAATTAATTCTATTATAATTATTATAAAATTTGAGGCCTCCCCAAATTGGACACCTAAAGCAATTGCTTAGGTGGCTTGACTCAAGAGTCAACCCTGGGTGTGAGTTAATCTCTTTTTTTTAGAGATGAGGATTCCTTTTTGGTCACATATAACAATATGAAGTGTGAACAGTGTGTAATATCACATGAATAGCATTACTCAAATAAGTCTCCAAAGCTAATAAAGAGTAAACTAAAGTAACGGCAATGTAAGTAAAGGACTAACCAACTATGGGATTCCATCGAGAGGAGGCGTTACTCTTGATATTGAAAAAAAGTATCTATTTATTCTTGAAGAATTACTACTGGAGAAAGTATCTAATCATCTCCATAACTCCTTTTCATGATTCCTTATTTAAGCAATTTTTGTTGCAATCTCTTTCAGCTTTAATCTCAACTTTGCTAGCATCATATATGAACTATAACATTAGTTCGCACTTTTGGAGAAGTAATTACTCATAGAATATTGGCAATCACAAGTTAGCTTTTGAATTGTTTTGTTACCTATATGTTACACAAGGACTAGAAGCATTACTTGCAAGCAAAAGTTTGAAAACCAAGAGCCATAAGAGTGTGACTTTTAAGTTTAATCAAGTGTACATAGAGTCCCTTGAGAAGAAACAATGAAGCACAAAAAGAAAAGCTACCAAGAGAAAAAGATTCATGTTGTGATCACACTCAGAATTGATGTATTATTCTATGAGGAAGAGGAGGAAGTTTACCAATTTTACAAGCATTAAGTCAAAATATAAGATAAGTACTCAAATACAATTTTATTATCATTATATACACATTGTACCAAATTTGACTTATCATTACACATTTTTAAAATGTACCATTAAAAAGATTTTTAACACTTTTTACAATCTTTTGATAGATTTTGATTGCACTATATAAAATTTTAGCAACATTATAAAGTTTATATACACTAGCAAAGTTTACAGTTTTTTTTCTATTGCTATTGAATAAAAAAATTCTAAAAATTTAAGTAGTTGCATCTTTAAGCTTTTACTACATAAAAAAATGTACCCTAAAGAATTTTAAATTAAAATAAAAAATTTGCTGCTTTTCAAAAAAAAATCAAAATTTGTTGTAATGACAATTATTATTTTTATTATAATTTCAAAGAATCAATTGAAATAAGCGGACATGCGGGCGGCAAGTGCTGCGTGCAGTAAAATGATTTGTGCGCGGCACGTGCCGCGAGGCAAGAGATAAAGTTGTGCGTGCCATGTGTCGCTCAAAACAAATCTTGTGTAGATGTGATCGCTACATGCAAGTCACTTATAAATATAAAAAAAATTGTCTTTTTTTTTAAATCTTTTTGAGCACTAAAACAAAATTTACTTTCATAAGAAAATTTTATCTTACACATAAAAAAATTTTCTTTCTATAAAAAAAAATTTCATGTGGGGGAAACAAATGAGAAATAAAAAAAAAACAAATGATTTTGGTTCAAAGGGAAACAATTTAAATTTTCTTATGATATATCAAATAAAAAAATAACACCACTACTTTATTCTAAATACTATTTTAATTTAAATAAAAAAACAAAATACTCATAATGACTTTATATTGACAAAATATAGAGAATCAAAATTTTTTTGCAAAAGATTAACTTTCATTTTACAATTAATTTGCTTTTATCTTAAAAATCTTATTTTAGCTTATGCAAGTAAAATATGTTATTACACAATCAATCAAATATTATGTAAAATATTGACAATTCACATTACACATTACACATTACACAAAACAATCACGTGTTACTATCTAAAGTGTTTTTCCCTAAAGTGTTACTACTTAAGGCGATAATGCCTAAGGTGCTATAGTGCAAAGTGTTACAATATAAAGTGTTACGGTACAAGTTGTTCTAGAGCAATGTGCTACAATACAAAATATAACTTTTTCTTAAATCAACTTAAAGAATTCTTATGCAAGGGTCAAAATGTAAATAGTTAATTTTTTATTATTAACTTATTATTTATCTAAGAGTTGTTTTATAGTAACATAATGTTATATAGAGAATAATGAGAACAATTAGAACAAGTAAAAAATTGCTTCAAGTTGAACAATTAATACATGTGAAATAACTATTTCACACGAATAGCAATGAAAGTAATTCGAAATAAATGACATGGCTCATATGTTACTTTCACTTTGAGATATTTAAGAGAGTTTAGTTTAGTGACCTAAATACGAAAGTTATTAAAAGATCTTACTCTTAACCCTTTCTTAAAATCCAAGTGTTTTTTCTTTTCACTTTTACTATGTTATCCTGTTCCTTGTCATGTGCTCTTTTTTTTTCTCTTATTTTATTCCCTTGTACTTTTTTACGTACACTTTTTTCCTCTTACCTTCTATTTAAGAATGAGTTTTATTATATTATTATTAGTTACAAAACTCACTAATTCAATGGTCACATAATTGTTTTCTAACTATTACTTATTTTATGTAATAAAATAATTATTTTAATATTCAAATAATAAGTTTCAGTAATAGTCATTCATTATGTACATTAAAGCTCTTCTTAATAAATATTACTCATTATGTGCTTTAAAACTTATTTGTGAATAACTCTTTTATCTAATTCTATAAATAGAACTTTCACGATTCATTTAAAAGGAAGAGAGTTATAGAGCAAAAACAAACATATTTTAACTTAAAGCTTATCTCTCTAAATATTCTCTCTCTAACTCTCTTCAACTTAGTTTTTCCCCACCTTATTCTTAATAATTCTTCACTGTTTATTTATTCTTTACCTATTCTCAATTTATCTCTACTACTTTGGCAATACAACTACTTTATCATTAGCTCATTTTATACGTTTTCTTAACCAATAATTTACTACTTACATATTTTCTTCCACTTATCACAATACTCAGTACTTTAAAACTATTTCAATTTTCCTCTCTATCACCTCAAGCACACCCCTTTACTTATTTGTAACAATTCCTCTCTCTTTCTCACAAAGACCCCTCTAAAGGAACTAATCATAACTTTAAGCCAACCAAGAAGTCATTGGTAGAAACAACTAAAGAGATGAAACGGGGAGTCAGTGCAGACAGCCGAATCTATATCTTCAGCAAACAAGTTTGCCAGTAGTAGTTGAGGATATTATATATATATTTTTCAAAAAAAAAAAAAAACAAAGCGATTTGATTTCATTAATACGAAATAGTTTAAGAGGAGCCTAGCATAGATACATGTACCATCTTTGAAGGGAAAGAAATAGCAAAACTCATTTAGGGAAAATTAACTTTGTTTCTAATTGTTGAAGCAATTAGGCGCAGCGACAAATGTGATGCTTGGTGGTTTGATTGATTTTCTGTTTACACATTTGATTGGTTCTGACTGCAGCATGCATAGTTTGTATGTAAAATGAAGTAGCTTCTTTTGGATAATAAAACATTTACTTATTAAAAAATGAGTGAGAAATTAACCGAGAGATTGAAGGTCACTTTTTAAGTTCTAGGAGCATCAAGATGGTATGAAGAGTCGCATAACACAGTCCAAGGTCTAAGCTGTCTTAATCCATTCTTAGCTAAGGCCAGCAGCACGCGGGGTGTAGGGTGTGGGGTGATGGATGAGAGACAAAGACAAAAGCCATAAAACAAGGGTTAAATAATTAAAAGGAATTTTATTATATAATTTAATTATTATTTATATGAAAAATTAAATACAATTTAAAAGATATTAAATATATAAAATATATATATTCATAGTAATAATGATGTCATTTATATATTTAACTAAATGTAACTATATATTACCTCTTATGTATTACCTCTCTGATTCACTATTATTTTGTAATTATATATTTAGATCCTTGGATGAATGATTCAAGTCTTTGCTCTTATTTGCCACGTGGTGGCCCTGACGTGACATCACAGCACACGTTTGGTGATGTATGGTAAAGTTAGGGCTGGCCCCTCGCTGACGTTGGCTTCCCGCACCATCCGCCAGCGGCCTTTTTCCTTTGCCCAATCACAAATGACAGATCACACCAACGTGTGGGTTACATTAACACCCACCCAACAAAAAATAATAATAATAATAATCTTTGGATTCACAATTTCTGAGATTTACCAATTCTTTTATTATTATTATTATTATTATTATTATTAAGAAATAATTACAACATTTGGAATTGGATAACGCTTTATTATTAATTTATTTATGTTATCTCTGGACATATAGTAAATGCAAAATTCTCATGCTTTATAACCTTAATTAATTCTCTTAATTTAATTCACTATATAAATACTGCTCTTGTAATTACATTTTTAAGAGTCGGTTTAGAGAAATTAAGACTAAATAGGTAATGGGTTTTGATTGTATTGAAATCCAATTGTGAAAGCGATAAAAAGTAAACGACAACATGCTGCATGCAATTCAACATATTTATCCCATATTGATGGCGTAAGCTTACGCAAACAAAGCATCGGATTTTTGTTAGGAGCGTACTAGCACTAGTACTAGTACAAGGTATTTTATTATTTTCTTTAAGTCTGGTAAACCTCACGGGCTTTGTTCTTACCTTACTAAATCCCGGGCCTTTGACAAGTTGGAAAAGTGGGGGGTGGGGAAGAAAAGAAAGGGTCGCCCTCCGCAAGACGAAGCAACTAGGTTAGATACAACTCGGACATGACCCAACACGCATTACACAACAAAGCAATGACACCAAGCCAACGTCACCCACGAACCTATACAGCCGCGTAACTAGAAAGCGTAACTACCGTTGACGCCTGACCCTCTCCCCTCCCTTCTTTGCCTTGCTCCTTTATATATCCCTCTTTCATCTCCCCATTTGCCACTCGCTCGCAATTTTCATATCCACCAAGCTACCTCATTGCTTTGCTTTTTTTAGTTTCTTGTGTTTTTCTTTTTTGGACATTTTCTTAATTTTCACCATGCAACAAGCGATTCCATACAAGTCCTGGCCTCTGCCATGCGCCACCACTGCTTCCCATCGTGCCCCATCAACACTTGGCCACAACAACCTCGTACCAAGCAGAGGAGGAGGCAGCAAAGACGTGCGTAATATTGTGTTAGAGAACGCTGTGATTGTGTTCGCCAGGAAGGGTTGCTGCATGAGCCATGTAGTGAGGCGTTTGCTACTGGCGCTGGGAGTGAACCCTGCGGTTTATGAGATTGATGACAAGGATGAGGTTGGTGTTTTGAATGAATTGGAGATGATCTGCAATGGCGATGGAAAGGATAAAAAGGTGCATCTTCCAGCTGTGTTTATTGGCGGGAGATTGTTTGGGGGATTGGATAAAGTTATGGCTACTCATATTAGCGGAGAGTTGGTCCCTGTGTTGAAAGATGCTGGGGCCTTGTGGCTTTGATTGATTCAGTTTTCTGACTTCATCTTCTTTTTTTTTTTTCCTTTTTAGGGTTGGTTGGATAATTCTTGACTCTAAAAGAGCTTGCTAGCTAGAAAATGGAAGATTATTTTTTTGGTTTTAGAATTAACCCAATTGGGTGTGTAACTTTGCTACAGAGAAATACAAATTAAGATAGTACATCTTGTGCTTTGCTTCCTCTGTTCCTAGATTTGTTGATTTGATTAGAATGATCCTCAAGGAATTGGATGATTTTGAGCTATCTTCTTTCTTCCTTGGATGACTTTTTTGTCTTTTCTTGACTCTATATCTGTTTCCAGGCTTGTTCAAAGAACTTAAATTGCCAAACTTTTGCTTTGAGTTGAAGGTGAGATGCTTCCGGCTTGCAGCACATGGGAGGTTTGTTATATCTCCCTGTTTTAATATGACTAGACACCGGACGTTCATTGCGTTTGCACATGGGCACATGTCGTGTTCCTGATAGTAAAGTAAGTTAGGGGGCCTTAGCCTCTGTTTCCCCACCTAAATCCTAATTTATCTGAGACAGGATAAAAAGCTATGACCCATAAATTGACACGACCAATACCAAATACACTAGCGAACACCAAAATCCCAATGAAGAGTATACCATAAAAATACGCTTTAATTACCAAGTTCTGGTATCCATTGGCAGCAAAATAGCATGAAATTTTCACCATTAGGACCTTTAACAGGAATCCAACTGAACTAGCAAACATTTTATCTACGTAAAACTTGGATTGATGGATTTTATTTCTGCTCCTAAACAGGAAACAAAAAATTAGCATAATAAACTGGAAAAGGAAGTGTAAAGCCATCTTTGATGAGCAATTCATACATCAGTTCAATTTACAAGAGTGAGGTTTCTTAGTAACAAACCATCAAATCGTATCCAACCATGAATCGAAATCATTCAATACTTTTGGCTTTGGGACAGAGTGAGACGATGAAGAAGACTGACCATTGTCCGGGGCAGCTTTGACATCAGTATGCCTAGACAAACCATTTCGGTTCACTAATGTGGATGTTTCTTGTAACAAATCATCAAAAGTGGAAGTAACAGCTGCAGATTTAGATGAATCAGCACCTTGGTTTACCATTGTGGATGTTTCTTTTAATAAATCATCAAGCAAATCATCAACACTGGAATTAACATCTGCAGATTTAGATGAATCAACGCCTTTTCTTGCAAGTTGGGCCAAAGATGGAGAACCTTCTGTATAATAATCATGGGAGCCTTTTTGGGGCTTTAAGCCAGAAGAATCAAGAAGCTTAGTCTCACTGAAAGAATTAAGAAGCATATCCAATTCTGCCTCTGCAGCTGCCGCTTCAAAAGTTGAAACTTTTTTGTTAGGGACAGGGGCAGAATTTGAATTGTCCTGTGCTGAAGACTCCAATGCTCTACTCTTACCAGATTTGTCACGTTGACTGGAAATAAAATCACTGTAAACTTCATCCACTGAATCCAAACCTTCATTAGACAATGTTGCATCTACAGACTTGCACCCAGAGCTCAATGATATATGCTCAACGTTTTTAGCAGCAATATTGACCTTATCAGGAGAAACATTTAGAGTTAGTTCTTCACTTATATGTGCAGCTGCTTTTCCCTCAGATGTTGTTTGCATTTGGTCAGATTCCTGATTGCTGTTTACCTTTGAACTCTCTGCATGCTGGGATATAAACCAGTAATGTGTAAATAGATACCCAAGTGTAAATTATAAACATATTTGTAGACACAAAAATTGATGTTATGCAATTATGACCAGCTGGCTTGCAAACCTAATATGCCACCATAACCCAATAATGCCTATTTTCAAATTAATAAAAGAAAAAAGGAGCCAAAAGAACCATCCAACAAAAAAATCTACATATGAATGCATTAGAACCATATGGAAAATGTAAACTAAATGCCAAGATTTCTGAAAAAGCTGTATGTCCCATTAGTTAACAATAACCTTCGATTCCAGTCAATTCTTAAGGTTTCCCAAGGATGATCTCTATGGGTTATTAGTGAAACTCATGGTGTAAACCTCAAGCCCCATGCTTTTTGCCCTTAGTTAGTGTCAGGAATTGCAGCTCCTCACTTAAAGGCATTAAACAATCATTATGAACCAACAGTAGCTTGAATATCAATGTAGGGTATTGGACTTACCAGCTCTGGTGGTAGTAGATCTTCTTCAATGAAGAGCCTCTCAGATAAATTTACTTTTTTGAGTTGTTCAGCAAGAGCGTGCAAATTCAAGGAGAGAAATGATGCCTAGATGAGAAAACACAGGGAAAAAGAGGTGAAAAGATAATAAAAAAGTAAGGTAACTGACGCAAGGTTGAAGGCAGGTGGCAATCAGTAATAACCAGATCAAGTAAATGGCCTCAGGACAAATTAGTAGCCGCACTTTGATACTCCTATAACTGATTGCACATAAACAGTCCATTTCAATTTTAATTTTCTTAGACAGTTAACATATGATAAATTCTATGAATTGTGTCCATTTTAATAAATAGATCTAAACAATACAGCACCTTTTTCTAAAATATCCAATGAAATTATGATCAAAACTAGAAAGCAATCTTTCTCTTCCACCAGTCCTCTCCTTTGTTTGTCACAAGACACTTTCAACATGGATACTGATTACTGAAATATCATCCAGTGTGCAGTTAACAATTAGCAGAGGCAGTGAGTATTTATAACTTCAAAATCAGAATCAAAATTATCCCCCGTGTTGGATAAGCACATCTATCAACTTGGGTTATCTTACACTTTTGGTCCCAGCAGAACTGGGAAAAGACAAATCTGTCCACATTTAAATATGCTCAGTGATGATACATAGACAAGATCATAATTAAGATACCCACATCAACTTTGAAAACTAAATCCCAAACACAAAAAGCCTTCATCTAATTCCCACAATTAACATAATAAGAAACTGTAAGATTTTCATTACTAATTTCTCTAATTGCATTGTGAATCCAATCTAACACATAACCCACTGTTCCAAGGTACTTCTGCATATTGGACGTGCTTCTGACAGTAGAAGTGTTGTTAACAACAATAAATAGCAATTCATTAGCATCAGATTGTTAGATGCATATTCTGATATTACTTTAGGACAAGGCAGTGCAAATATGTGTCTGAGTGTACAGGGATGCATACAGATGTGCGCATGCACGTGTGTGTGTGTGTGTGTGTGTGTGTGAGAGAGAGGAGAGAAGAGAGGAGAGAGAGAGAGAGAGAGATGCTTGCTCATATCATAAAGTGAAAGACAAAACAAGAACATAGATACACATATCCAGCAGACATCAAACAATGTGTCAATGGACTTGAGAATTAATGTCTCTATCTGTTCCTTCACAATTAGAATTTCTTGCTCCGTGTATATATAAATAACAAATAAAAGAAAAGAAATTACCTCATGAGTTGCAGTTGTTCTGTCTTCCACAACAAAATTATCATTCTGAATAATGACAGAATGCCCTCTCCCCTTACTGAAAGCATAGAGCCCACAAACTGATTGAAGTCTCCTGGAAGATTACCAATATATAAATTTCCATCAAGAATTCCAAAATAAAAACTGACATGTATAGCATTTTTCCCTTTTAGAACACAAAAAAGACCATAGAGATCAGTCAAGGAAAGGTGCATAACTATAATAAGGATTGGTAACAATGTCAAGGTTGTTGTCAAAAGAAAATAACTACAACTTCCCAATTTTTTCTCTTCTTGATTCAATTCAAAAGAGATGCTTAGTCAACTTCTCCTGCTTATAACCCCCCTTTTTAACTCATTGAGTAAAAATAAACCTACCAACAAAATAACCTGTTATTTTATTACTTTGTATAAATACACCATATTGAAGGGGTGGAACAACGCTAATACAATTGAGACAGAAAATTTCACATATTAAACTACATAAGGAAAGAGACTAATACCAGGCAGAATATCATCTAAAGAACAAAGGCTATCTGTGTAAGGATTTGACTCCAACTGAGACTGGGCCTCAGCAATCAGGTGACGAAAGTCAGCCCCTTTACTCTTTGGCAAAACAACATCGGGAACTTGACTTGCGCTATCACCAGATCGATCTTCAGAACCTGAATCAAATTCTTCCTCATAGCGATCCCAATTCGATGGTAGTGCAGATACACCCTGAGCCTGATGCGTTTTCTCTCTAATTTGCCTGCCTGTCTGCTTCTTTGCGTTTGCTGCATCATTACCGCCAACTAATGGAGGTTTTGGCAATTGCCTTGAATGAGGCTTCTTACTATGGTGTTGTGAATGAGCTCTCTTTGATTTTGCCAAAGCCTTTGCATCCATCACAAATATTTACACTGTCGAAATGAATTGAACTCAGCACCCTCACAATGGACAAGGGTAACTAGCACAATAAACAAGTGAATGATGACTCATTAGAATAAAATTCTTCTGTTCCAACTTACAACTACAAATAAATAAATGACTAAAATCTTCCAGATTTCAGCCCTATTATAATTCAGCCTAAATTTGGCAAAAGGATAAGTTGAATAAAAGGAATGCCAAAGCCAGAATTTCCTGCAAAACAGTAAAAAATTTTAAAAAAAAAAAACCTCCCATACAACTTCTAAGACCTAAATATTATATATTTTAGAAACTTTACTGCTTATCATTAATCAAAACACAAAGAGTGGTTGAGTAATAATTAATCATTACTGGAGCTGTAAAACTAAAATCCTACTCGAATAAAACTAAAATGGAAAAACAAATTACGCGTAATTATCCTCCAAAAAATTGTGTTAATAATAACTGAGAAGTGGGAAAATGCCGATTAAAAAGGTTACAAAAAAATAATAAAAAAGCAATGAAGGGATTAGGGTTCTTACGTTTAATCGATTTGCGTGAAGTAAGCAAATTTGATTTGATTACACTCCATGGAACTGAAAATGGGGAGGAAAGATTTTGGGCTCCCAACCTCTCTGACCAGTTTCCACGTACCGTGACAGAAACGTATGGCATCTCAGAAGCGGCCCGGAGAAGTACACCGCGCTGACCCGTTGTGGTTTTTCTATTTTAATAGAATGGGCCTTCGTTGCCCAATGATCAGACGCGCAGAAAATGAATTGAAGGCATTTGGGTTAACACTCGTTGTTTTTCCTTAACTAGTTTTTACCAATTTAATCAACTGAACAGTCATGCAAGATTAATTGAGCCATGTTATTTGAGTTGTAAACTAAATAATAATTGTTGCATGAAACAGATTAAATTTATCCACTCAATTTAGGTATAATATTTCAATAAATTGCTGAACTATTTAACAAATGTTGAATAAATTTTTATTTTTTTTGTTGCGTATAATTAAGTTTTCGTATTTTTATTTGAAACAAATAGGCTCTTAGCATTAATAGTTAACTAACTATTATTAGTTAAATGTCATTTATCATTTTATACTTATATGACATAGATATGGAGGGTGAAAAATGGCACGTGGCCATGTCACTTGTCAACATATTACATTAGTGTCACGTGATATAAAATAATAAATAATATTTTGATTAATAATAGTTAATTAACTATTAAACATAAAAATTTATTTAGTTCAAAATAAAAAAATAAAAATTTTTATGAAATATGTGAATATCCATTATATTTCATAATACCCAATGTATCTCCTCATATACAATATTCATTTTTATTTTGATACATCCCTATCTCTTAGTTACATCCAATGTATGTACACCCTTATCTACTAAGTTCATTCTCTCTATTTAAGTAATTTTATTCCCTCTCCACCTATGTGCACTTAAAATGGAGTCATTGTAGTTGATGGTACAGATACTGAAACAAGAAATGAAATAGAAGATCTTCTTACATTATTACTATTTCTCTCTAATATTCTCTTTCAAAGTTATATCTCATAACACGTTATCAACACGAGGGTCTAACTAACTAAGAAGGTAATTTTTTTATTCTTCAATCACTTAGATTTTAATTTGGTATATTATCCAACTAGTCTGAAGCTGACAATGGACCTTAAGCCTCCTTCCATGCCTTGAAGCAATGGTGAGTCTTCGAGAATCCCTGTAGTTGACACTTGAAGTTGTCAATACAAGTGTAAATGGGAATCACCAAGAAAAAGAAAGATGTTTGTTTACTTGATAGTGTAACAACACATACCATACTTTGTGGCAAACATGTTTTCTCAAGTGTGACATTGCTTAAGGCAAATGTTCATACAATATCAGGTCTCATTAGGATTATTGATGGCTTCGAAAATTAGACAATAGTTTTGCCAAATGGCACCACATTGCATATTGAGGATGCATTGCTAAGCAGTAGATCGAAAAGGAATCTACTTAGCTTTAAAGATGTACACCATAATGGGTACCATCTTGTGATAATTCATGAGCAAAATAAGGATTGTCTCTGCATCACTTTTTATAAAATGGGTTAGAAGAGCATCCATGATAAGTTGAAAGCTTCAATTATAGGATTATTTTGTGTCACTATTAGAGCTGTTGAATCCTACGTTACCATGTCTTGAAGACTAGTAAATCTTGATGAATTTGGACTTTGGCATGATCATCTAAGTCACCCGAGAGCTACAATGATGCGTAGGATAATCCAAAATACTAGAGGACACCTATTAATGGATAAAAACATTTTATTGTCTAAAAATTATACCTATGAAACTTGTTTACAAGCAACACTCATTGTTAAACCTTCTATGAAAAAGGTAAATCTTGAATCCCTCTTATTCTTACAAAAAATTCAAGGTGATATTTGTGGACTAATATTACTAGCAAGTAAGCTATTCTGATATTTCATGGTATTAGCAGATGTATCTTGCAAATGGTCTCATGTTTGCCTATAATCTACGCTTAGTGTCATCTTTGCACATTCATTTATGCAGATTATAAAGCTTCGGGCACATTTCTCTAATTATCCAATCAAAAGTATAAGGATAAATAATGCTAGTAAATTTACATCAAAGAGCTTTGATGCATATTGTGCTTCACTAAGAATCAAGGTTGAATACTCAATTCCACACATTCATCCTTACAATGGATTGGTAGAATCCTTGATTAAGTGCAACCAAATTATAGCTCATACTCTATTATTAATAACAAAGTTCAACTATTCAACATAGAGGTCATGCTGTTTTGCATGCAACGGCACTATTAGATTACTCCCATTGCTAATCTCCTATATAGTTAGTTCTACACTATGAACTAGACATTTCACATTTATACACCTTTAGTTGCATAGTGAAGTGCCTGTAGTATCCTCAAAAAGGACTAAAATGGATCCCATATGCCATTTGGGCATTTACATTGGATTTGATTCACTATCCATTATAGGTTCTTAGAACCAACAACGTTGATATTTTTACCGCTAAATTCGCAGATTGTCATTTTAATGCAACAATGTTTCTATCGATTAGGATATCTAACTTCCATAGTTGAAAAGTATAAACCAATAGAGATTTTCTCTTGGAATGAGAAAAATCTATCACATTTAAATCCAATAACTCCTAAATGTGAAAATGAGGTGCAATGAATAATCCATTTACAGACACTTGCCAATCTTCCTGACACATTTAATGATGCTGCCCAAGTTATAAAGTATTATATTCCAGCTGTGAATGTTCTAGCTAGGATTACTATTCTTAAAGAACAAGCTGAAATAGATCAAAATGGCTCACGCTTGAAGTGTGAAAAACCAACAAGATCAAAATACACTATTTTTGGAAAACGAATGGGGAGGAATTAGGAAACCACTCTAGAAGAGCTTGTGTTGAGCTTGCTCCAAAAGAGATTATTGCCCTTGAAGAGGCACAATTTCATGACAAGATCACTAACCTTGGGAATGCTTAGATTTTCATTATATTTTGTAATGAGATTTGGGATCAAAATGAGATAATCATTGATGATGCTTTTGCATTCTTAGTTGCTCATAAGATTATAAACGATGATTATGAACCGCGATCTATTATTGAATATCGTCAAAGGCATGAATGGCCTAAGTGGAAAAAAGTAATTCAGGCTGAATTAGCTTCCCTCGCTAAATGAGAGGTTTTTGGGCCTGTAGGTCAAACCCTTAACAATGTAAAGCCTATTGGATACAAGTAGGTCTTTGTGCGAAAACAAAACAAAAAAAAAAAGGTCGTGAGGTATAAAGCTCGACTCGTTGTCCAAGACTTCTCTAAAAAACCTAGAATTGATTATGATGAGACATATTCACTTGTAATGGAAATGATTACCTTCCATTTCCTTATTAGCTAAGTAGTTTCTAAAATACTAGAAATACGTCTTATGAATGTTGTGACAATATATCTATATGGTTCATTAGACTCCCATATTTATATGAAAATTCTCGATGGATTCAAAATGCTTGAAGCATATACTCCTCGCAACTTATTCTCAATAAAATTGCAAAAATCTTTGTATGGGCTAAACCAAGTAGATCGCATGTGGTATCATCATTTAAGCAAGTACATAATCACAAAAGGGTACAAAAATGATCCTATCTACCCATGTGTGATTATTAATAAATTGAAAACCGGATTTACTATTATAGCATTTTATGTCGACGATATGAATTTGATTAAAACTCTATAAGAATTATCTAAAACTGCTAAACATTTGAAAAGAAAGTTTGAAGTTAAAGATTTGGCTAAAACCAAACTTTGCCTTGGTCTAAAGCTTGAGCACAAAGCAAATGGTATACTAATCCATCAGTCAGCATATATTGAGAGATTGCTTAGACGTTTTAACATGGACAAGGCTCATCTATTGAACACCCTTATGGTGATAAGGTTTTTTGATCCCTAAAATAACTTGTTTCATCCTAAAGAACCTAATGAGGATATACTTGATCATGAAGTACCATATCTTAATGTAATTAGAGCTTTGATGTACTTGGCACAAAGTGCGAGATTGAATATCGCTTTTGCGGTAAATTTGTTGACACATTTTAGTTCTAAGCCAACCCGAAAACACTGAAATGGAATAAAACATATCTTCCATTATCTCCAAAGAACCCAAATTTGGGATTATATTAATCGAACGATTCCACTAACTTTAGTTTAAGTTGGATACACTGATGCGGGATATAAATTTGATCCACACAAGGCTTGCTTTCAAATTGATTATTTATTTACTATAACTGTACCGCCATTTCTTGGCGCTACTAAGTAAACGCTAGTAGTTACTTCATTCAACCACTCTGAGATTATCGCTTTATATGAAGCAGGAAGAGAGTGTGTTTGGTTAGGATCCATTATAACACATATTCATAATTCTTGTTATTTAACACCGATTACAAGTTCTCCCACTATAATTTATGAAGATAATGTTGCTTGCATTGCACAAGTCAAGGGAGGATATATTAAATGTGATTGGACCAAGCATATCTCGTCAAAATTTTTCTCTACTCATAAACTCTAAGAAAGTCGACAAGTTGACTTTAAACAAATTTGATCCACAAATAGTTTAGTAGATCCTTTTACCAAATCATTAATGACACCAACATTTGAGAGATTAATATATGGAATTGGAATGTAGAAAGTTAACAAGATAAGAGATTAATTTGACCCAAAAGTGACAATACGGCTCAATTGAGGGGGAGCAATTATGGACCATGTACTATACTCTTTTTTTTTTATTTTAACCAGTTCTTGTCCCATTGGGTTTTTTTGACTTAAAGGTTTTAATGAGGCAATACAATAGACATTTAAGGAGAAGTGTTATGAAATATGTGAATATCCATTGTATTTCATAATACCTAATGTATCTATCCATATTCAATTTACACATCTATATTGGTGTATCTTTATCTCCTATGTACATCCCTATCTATTAAGTTCATTATCACTATTTATGTAAATTCATTTCCCTTCTACCTATATGTGTTTATAAATAGAGGCATTGTAATTGGTGGTAAAGATACCAAAACAAAATTAAAATAGAAAATTTTCTTACATTCTTACTATTTCTCTTTAATATTCTCTTTCATAGTTATATTTAACAATAAATTAAATGTAATAAAAAAATAAGAGTTTATTTTAAATTTTTTTAAATAATTCGATGAATTTTTTAAAT